CAAAGATAACATGAAAATTTAGTTGACAGGGCTTCCATGACATGAAATCACAGAAGGTTTTATAGAGTCCAGCTGACTTAATGTTTTCTAGGTTGTTTGATTACCATGGCCGTGTCCCCCCACCGCCCCGTGCAGTGATTCCACTGAAACGTCCTCGTGTGGCTGTGACAACAACTCGTAGAGGCAAAGGGGTTTTCTCCATGAAAGGGGCATCACGATCAACCTCAAGTGGGGCTTCTTCCTCAGGATCCAAATGTGAGTTGCTCATATCAGTTGCATATTATTGAAACAATGATCCTAGCAATTTCTGCAAGCAGACAGCCTCCACTATATAGATCTGTTGCAGTCATTTCCTACCCTCAGTCTCTAACTTGAAAAACTGGCTTGGTTGCCAAAGCTTTCAGGCCTTTCCTGCAAGTCAAGGAGCACACTGATGACAGTTTTGAAAAAAATTCTTTCAACAACATTTGACCTGCTTCCTTGGCCTCAGAAGAAGCCTGTTTAAAATCTGTCATCCCGACTCCTCATGCACCATGAGGTCTGGTGTAACACAGCTGGTAATACAGCAAAGATAATAATATTGTCATAGACAGAGGCACATTGACTTATGTGGAGACTTGAGAATTGTATGTAAGATGATGGGATGGGCTGGGAGGGGCAGGGGAGTTTGGGTTATATGTTCTTTTTTACCAGATTCCTTTGAGGATAGAAAGAGGCAAAGTGTCTTTGCCTGTTTTAAAGGAACTTCAAAACAGGATTGGCAACTTGGGGTTATTTAACCCTTCCTTAGTAATTTGGCCTTAGAAGAGCTGATGAACAACAAGCATTCCCTCTTCCAAGCTCATCAAGCTCCCCACTCCATAGTATGTCCTGGGAACTTCATCTTCCTCTTCGTGCATCTTTCAGCACCCACCCGTCTTCCCCTGCCCCTTATGTGGAGTGATACTGTCCTTGGAAGCGTCACTGGAAGAGGAAGAGAAAGATCAGGTAGGGATCAGATTATTAGAAAGAATGGAGGGACTTCAATAAGACTTTTGCAGTACCAGAGTGGCCAACAAAGCATCATGCTGACTTACATGTGAATCCATCAAGAATACATCTTACTGCCAGAGGAGTTAATTATAACATCAACAGTACTCAGTTATATATTTTGCGTGAATAACATATCCAAATCTCACACACTAGTATCTAACAAAAAAGTTGGGCCTCTAGGGAGCCCACCAGGATCCATTCTTAATCCTACTGTATGACCTGATGATATCAGAGACCTTGAAGGAAAACATATAATAAACATGCATGTGACTGAAAGAAGGGACATGTAGTAAACAGAGATAATGATAATGTTGTACACCCAGGATCTTAAGCCATCCTGGGAAAGGATAACATTCTGAAAAAGAGAGGCTCTGTTGCCTGTGTAGTTAAATCACTCACAAGCTTTCAGTGAATGAATGGTTAGATGTCCATTACCAATCATGGGAGTTTTGACACTTAGCAAACGTGTTACGAAGCTCACTCAGACCCTAAGAGGATTACTGGGAGTAGCAACACTTCCTTGGTTCTCTGGAAGATGAGCATGAGTCTAGACATTTTCATACACATCTTGAAGTAATCCACTTGTCCACAATTGCTTTTTGCCTTTTCTCAGTACTTTAAGTGATTAATTATGCTTTCTTCTATGAATTACAAAGAAAGCATGCAGCTCAAGATCTTCAATTTAGAAAACTTAGAATTTAAATTATTTTTTAGCCCTTTTCAGCCCTTGAGTCTCTGGATTTTCACACAGTGAATCAAAGCTGTAGTGAGTATATACACTTACAAATTCATTCATTATATCTCATGTTTTCATCCTTTACTGTTGTCTTATCCATATGAATAGTTAGTCATATCAGTGCATTCAATTTGCTAGTTGTCCTAAAGCATGATCTAATAAGAATGGGCTTTTTGGACTCCTTTTGCCTTGAAAAAGATTAATTATTTTCAGATGAGTATTTTACATTTTTTTTCTCATTGTCCAGAATAAGAATAACTCTAAAATTCTTCTAGAGAAGATCTTAGTGTATAGCAACAGATGTCAAGAAGAACTCTTGCCCACAAATCTGGCCTTTCATTGTGGTGAATAAGGCAGAAAATATTAGATTACATATAGATATCTCTTCATCAGAATTATCACCAAATTGGCTTTATTATTTCTTCTGCATTTCAAAAAATGTTCTGTAGAACCATGTCAGGACTTAAGTAATGCATACTATAGGATTCAACTCTGGTCCAAGTACCCATGGTCACTTGCTATAAGGCTTCCAAAATACTGTCTACAAAACATGGAAAGTACTGCAGAACCTATAAATTATTCAGTGGAAGTGCAATCAGGAGTGTGTTCAGGTCCTAACAGGCAGCCTTATGCCCCAGTGAAAGTGTCCTTCAGTGTGCTCAGGTGTGATCTGAATTCTAGAAATGTTAGTGGTAGAGCTCTAGGTGAAAAGATCATCCTCGGATCCAGCTCTTTAACACTTAAGTGTTAAGCCGCAAGATGCATCACTAAAAGCATGGGTTGACATTTTGACCTTTGTTGGGTTTCTGCCCTTAGTTCTTTACAATGGCAACTGGAACAAAACTGCAGAGAGTATTCATTGTGATGGAATAAATGGCACAAAAATTTTTTTTCTGCATGCAGCACATCTTTAAAAGGAGTCAGACATGCAGTATACAGATTTTCGTACTTAATTTCCCCATAGAATTACTTCCCTTTTTGTAAAGTCCAGCCAACCCATCATAAAGGTAGAAATATGATTTTGTTGACTTGGACAGGAATGTAATCAGCTTATTGTAAGACCTTTATCAGAGAAATAACAGAACCATTCCCTTAGGGGCTTCAATTGTGAAAGTGGAGAATGCATATTTTGTGACTTCTTTTGCCATTTTCTTGGAGAAGTTGGCTGTATTGAATTCTGGGATGAAGCAATTTAATATTTTGTTGCCCCTCACTCTACACTGCTAATCTAGACCCCTTAAACTAGTGCACTGTTGATCCTAATCATAATTTATTGCTAGTTAAATAAGGGATTCTTTCAGTAAGGAGAAACATAGTTTGTGTGAAGGAAGCTATTTTGAGTCTTAAATCAAATGTAGAGACCATAAAATGGCTTAATTACAAGTTCAAAATTAAAAATGTCATAATGGTATTGCCTATGCTTGAAAGATTTCACCCCAAGTAACAAAACCCTCATGAGATCACATCCTCTAACATACTTTTCAGATGTAAGTAGAAATCTCATAGACATAACTCTTCTCCTAGGTTTTCTCCACACTCAGACTGGCTCAGTCAAATTACCAAAATTAAAAGGACTCACTTCTGAAAACCAGCAACCCAAAGACAGAATTTTGTTGTGGCACAGACAAAGATGTTACAAAGATACAAAAAATACCTTGCTCATTGATGAGTACATCTGCAAAAATTATTTCTGCCACAACCGTAAATTCTTTTTTGACCACAAAGTCACAATAAGTGTTCTAAGTTTGCTTCCAAAACACAAAATACATTGGGAATATTTGCTTTGTGTCCTAAACCTTTAATTTTTCAAAGAACAGTTGACAGTATTTTGTTTTCTTTTTAACTCCAAAGACTTGAAAACACTAAATCAGCATTTCCAAACTACTAGAAGTAATGTACGTGTTGGTGTGTAAATCCACACAGTAGTTCTTCATGTTAATGGTATGAAGCAGCACATTCAGATTGCTATGTAGAACTGGGAAAAAACTCAATTTTTCTGACAATGTAGAAATGAAAGCTCTCAGAGTATGCACTTTCATTTTACACATCTGAAATCAGGAGGAAAATACTAATTAAATCCTTTATAGCCTGTGTGCTTGAGATTAAGGACTAGACACTTAGGATGTTACAATATGTATTGAATTATGTCTTTAAATGAATTCATTTTCACTCGTATAGTTTATATTTAGCTTCATCATCTAATCCATTTTTCAATGATACGTAAGAATAAAATAGGATAAAATATTTTATATTAAACTTGAAAGGCTTAGATAAAAATACATCACATTTCTTTCCAAAGAAATCTCAGTCATGCCTTCTGGATGAATCAATTTGTATTTATGGCAAAAAAACATTTCACAAATGTAGCTGTAGTTCAACACTAGGGTTTTAATTTCTAAAAATATGATTGACCTTAATATTACATTTCTTGTTTTCACCTGGGTATAGCTTTTTTCCTTTGGTGTTAGATACATCAATGAAAGATGCACTCCAGAAGGCCCAAAGGGCTGCAAAGGGTCACTGAATCAAATTCCTTATTGTTGCAAGTTGCTGCATCCTTTAAGTTTCATCTTAAAGTTAATTAAGGTTTGCATTTTTTCTGTCTCTGTTTCTTCTAATTTCCAGCTTAGTTTGTTTCTCCTTTGTTCATATTTGTTTGTTGTGCCAACACTGTGTTAGCATATAAGTTTTATTTCTTTTTACCTTCTTTTTTCTCAGGTAAGTAAGCAAAACGCTTCTGTCGCAAAATGCTTTCCATTTTTATGGTCATCTTCACAGCCCTTCTCCAAGCATAGCAGCTAGAATTCAATGGTTCAACCTGGACTCACCTTATACTCCTTCCACTTCTCCATCTTTAGAAATACAGCATTTGACTAGTCCTAGCACTGTATTTTATTTCTCAGGGTTGTATTATAGTGATAATCTACTGTCAACCCAACCATAATTCTGTCACTGTCTTTTTCTGAGTAGTTCTGCTGTTACCCAGTCAAGCCTAGGATTTTTTTTTTCAGTGCAATTGTTTCTCATAATTTTTTCTAATGTAACATTCCTTAAAATCACATGACCCCTCCATCCATTCTAGTTCATTATGAATAGATGACATCTTTCAATTTTATGCAATCAGTAATTTTCACCTATTTATTTACTTTTTTTGCATCAAATTTGTTTAAGATATTTAACCATTTTGGTGCCGGTGCTTGAGGAATTTCACTTTCCCTTTCAATACATGCATTTCCCTTTCAATACATGCATTTCTCTCACCTGCTGGCCTTTATTTATCTGCTAAAAAGGAAACAAAAAAACAAACAAACAGTAAGCCACTTTAATTTCCTGTTCTATTACTCAAAAGCAGATGAACAGATATTTTGGACACATGCAGGTCTGATGTCATGTCTACCAACAGCTATATTTCTTGTCTGAGATAAATTAAAAAAAAAAATCCATGATGTTTTAAAGGAAAATTTATATGTTCAAAGCAGGATATCTGGAGTATAGTATATATAATCTCTAAATTTTTTTCCTTATCGTAACACTGCTTAAAAAGCCTGAAGTTATTGAATCACACAATCACAGAATGGTTGACCTTGGAAGGGACCTCTGGGGAGCCCAGAACTGGACACAGTACTCCAGAAATGGACTCACAAGTGCTGATTAGAGGGAGTGCTTTTTTGAACACCTTCAGGGACGGTGTCTTCACAAACTCCCTGGGCAGTCCATTCTAATGTTCAGATTGCTCTTTCCATGAAGAAATTACTCCTAATGTCCAAGCTGAACCTCCCCTGACACAGCTTGAGGCTATGTCCTCTGTCCTGTCACTTGTTACCTGGGAGAAGAGGCTGACCCCCACCTTACTACAACCTCCTTTCTGGTAGCTGCAGAGAGTGATAAGGTCTCTCCTGAGCCTTCTTTTCTCCAGGCTAAACAACCCCAGCTCCCTCAGCTACTCCTCATATGACTCCCTAGACCCTTCACCAACTTGATTGTCTTCATTGCCCTTCTCTGGACATACTCCAGCACCTCAATGTCTTTCTTGTAGTGAGGGGCCCAGGACTGGACATGAGACTCAATGTGTGGCCTCACCAGTGCTGAGTACAGTGGCACAATTACTTCCCTGGTCCTGCTGGCCACACTATTTTTGATACAGACCAGGATTAACCATTCACCTTCTTGGCCACCAGGGCACACTGCTGGCTCACATTCAGCCAGCTGTTGACCAGCACCCCCTGGCCCTTTTCCACTGGGCTTTGCTCTTTGAATCCTCATTGCTGTGTCTGTTTTCCCCCTCGTGCTGTCTTCTTCCCACTCTGTTTTTTCTAGAGACATCACAGGGAAGCCCTGGTGCAGCAGAAGGTTTGACCTGAGCTGAACAGCAGCCCTATGTATGTGCCTGTTTCCTTACCAAACTCAGAAGTGTAAATGTCTTCTGCTTGGCTTAGTAGACTGGAAACAAATACCACTAGGTCCTTGCAGTGTCACTTCTGAGTTTTGACCTTTTAGGCTTGGCCAGCCTGCATTTTGCCAATCAAGGGACCATCTCTGACACAACACAACAGCTTGGCCCCATGGGATGTGTTGCCAACTGGCTTCATAGTGGGTAGCTGTGAACACTTAGCATTTCCCATTGGACCGATTCACACCATTTCACTCTGCACTACCTTGCTACTCCAGCATGGACCAGTCAGTACCCCTGGGGAAGCAATAACCTTCTAAATATACAGTTGTCAGAATCTTAACTTTTTTTTTCAGATCTGGGGGATTGGACAGTGACCTGTTATTTCTCTAAGAACCTTTCAAGGCCTTGCTCTATAAGTACACAAAGTAATTCCATCAAATACTGTGTAACATATAAGAATCCAGCACAAAGTTTATTTTTATGTTTTTTTGCCTGTCCTACAGTTTCAATATGAGATCAGAGGTTTCAGCCTACGATAATGTGAGATAATGCAATTTCTCAGCATGAGTGTATGATTAAACAAGTGCATTACTGCATATAGCGAGCTAGTGCCTTTAGCTGATGTTATGACTATAATGCACATAACCCATACTCAAAGATTAAAAGCCTTGGTTTCAACCTCAGTGAATGTGTTACAAGTTTGGAATAAGGCTGATTTGAAGCAAACATGTACTCGTTTACTACCACTGAAGCAGGAAACAACTTGTCTGCACATTTCGTCATCATACTGACTGCCCAATACAAATTGGGCATGATGAGATTCAAGACACCATGACGAGATACGTACCCAAAAGTCAATGAACAGTACTGATACAGCAGGATGCAGCTAGGAGACCCTTTTGACAGAAAGGAAACATGTCCTTCTTCATAGCAGAGCATCCCTTTACCTGGGCACGAAAAAGGCCCTCCTGTTGTGTATATTGATGCTCTGTATACTGACACCAATTCACATCCTCCTACAGCAGTGGTAAGGGTGGAGAAACAATACAGCTCTTCCACTGCCAATCCCTCACAGTGGTGGTCCATTTCTTCCTACAACTGTTTTAAGAGTGACAGTTGTTACCTACTCTTGCCCTTTATAAATTGTTTTATTCTCCCATGCTAGCACAGGGTTCCCATTTTCTCGTTTTGACCTTTTCCACATGATATCCTAGCATAAACAGGGCAAGTAAATTTGATTGGACTACTTTCTGAGCATAAAACATGTCCTGATAATGCCATAATAATGAGGTCATCTATGAGGGCTGCAGTGCTCTTTCTTTTGAAGCCAAAACACCTCCAAAGCAGTTACTCCTTCTTACATTAGACAATGGGAGTGCAACAACGAACAAAAATGAAGAGTAATGCAAGGCAACAAAGATTTGGAAACTTCAGCTACGAATTTATAGGTGCTGCTCCATGTCCTTGTCTGTGCTCATAAAATGAAATATTTTCATATATTATCCATAGCTGGAAAAAGTACAAGAAATTACCAGAACTGAAAGCTTTTGTAGCAAAAAGATTTAACACCTATTGCAAGGAAGCTTTTCTCTGGAACATAACGTTACTTTCGTGGCTGCCCTAGCACTTATATTACTATTCACTCTTGCTGAAAAATACGTACTGTGAGGGTTCTTTTTATTGTTGTTACTGTTATTACAAAATAGTCCAACAAAATCTCATTGTAAGACTGGGAGTTGTTTGTGATATTTGAATCATTTTTTCACTATAGGTTGTTTTTCAGTAAAAGTGACCTGGATTTATGAAGAATACTCTTGAGATGTTTTACCTGAAATTATTATTACAGAACAATACACCTCACATGGACTCTTGCCATTAGGGCTTAGAATCCTATGATTTTCAAGTATTCAACCTTTTTAACAAAAAATGCTAATTTTAAATGCTAAATTACTAAAAATACTGACAGAAATGAGGGAGTAGACTTTCTACAAGAGAGAAAAGAGAAAAGAAAAAAGAACATGTTTTACTTGAGTGGGGGAAGGTCACCACAAATATAGTTTATTTCATGGTTTGCATTTTGCTCTCTTTCCACAGTGAAATCAGATGAGTTGCAAACAATCAAGAAGGAATTAACCCAAATCAAAACAAAAATTGACTCCTTACTAGGGAGACTGGAAAAGATTGAAAAGCAGCAAAAAGCTGAAGCAGGTAGGTAAAAGCAATTTGTAGTGAAATGGATTAAATTAGAACCTAGTTACCAGTCAAGCAGATAGACCAAAGAGAATGGAAGCTTTCCAGAAATTTTGCTTCATAATGAAGGCCTGAAGCAAGGTAAATTAACTCTCAGGTAGAGCTACTGTGAGGATAGATTAATATTCTTTACAGAGCATGCACCATCATTGCAAGAATTGCTTTCTATGGTGTAGTAGGAAAAAAAATCTTTCTAGATATTCTGGAAACAAAACACCTCTAAAACCTGACTGAACAGAAGTTAGAGCTTGTTGATTATGGAGACAGTAGTCCTATACACATTAAGAATTATTAGCTAATCAATAATTATTTTGCCCAGGAAATAGGCAATGGTCACAAGTCAAAGCAAGGAAAAATTTCTGTTTGATATGAGGAAAAAGGATGCAATTAAGCAATATGGCAGGTTTCCCAGAGACACTGTAGGGGCTCCACCCTTGGAGATGTTTAAAACTCATTGGGCTGGACCAAATTTTGAGTCTGCCCCTGACTGGACTGTTTTTGAAAAGTCCAAAGATCCCTTACAACCTCAGCTTTTGAGTGAAGCCATGGCCTCTTTGTAAAATTAGCCATACCTCTAGTTCAGCTTTTCTCTGGCTTAAAAGTTTTAATTTGAAGAAACTTTGGAAATAACAAAGTCCAACTCTACTTTATAATTTAATCAAGATCTTTATTACTGTCATTGCAGTGTTCATTTAGCTGAATGATCTCACTTGGTAGCACAGCAACTCTCATGCTGAGAGTTACAAGGTTGTATTTTCACTATGGTATATATAGAAAACAATCTCAATTCTTATGACTGTCTATGATATTTTCTTTGTCATTTCCTTATAGATCACATAGTATATCTTTGTACAGGAGCTGATTTTGATGAGAGCCAGCAGGGCAATGGCAGGTGTACCTCATGAAAAACTCAGTGATTTTTTTTCCCTGCTCCATTCTGTGATGAAAACTTTTTATATATTTCGCGTGAAATGTGTGACAGAAATTCTGCCTTGGAACCCACAGCTGCCTGGGTGTCTGGGCAGTAGCAAATTACAGGAATCCAAACATCTCATCAGGACACATGGAGTTCCATCAAGACTATGTAAAACTTTATGGGAATTAGCAGTTTAGGGCCATGAACCTGACATGGGCAAAATAGATATTTAGTGGATCCTTCCTGTTCCCAAGTAACTTTATAAGAAGGAAAACAACCTAAAAAAATAAACTACCTTCCCTTTACAATCATTTTCTAAGTCTGTTTTGACAACAAGGACCAATCCCTCAGCTGTTATAGTTTATCTCACAAAGTTGAGGGTTTTTTTCAAGTCTAAGGTAAACCGTTAGTACAGAGTGTGATTATCTCTTTCAGGAGAACTGTACACAATATGTATTCATCACATTCTATTTTGAACTTCATGCAAGTTAGACAAAGTTGGTATAATCAGTGAAGATGTAATTGCAAGGCACGCCATTGAATCATTTGTATACTGAAATACTTTGAGATCGTGCATCCCTACTTTAGGGAGCTTTTATATAAAATCCATTACTATGCAAAACACTCTGCACATCATTGTACTTTGATATCCAATTTTCACTTTTGCTAATGGACTGTAGTGAACTTATTTAAATAGAAATCAGCTCAAGGAGGAAAATGTTGATTTGTGTTGAATCATAGTGTTATGCCTTTTGAAGACAAGCAATGAATATCCTGAGATTGAAAAGTGGTTTCAAAATGTTGAAGTTTTAAAACATCAGGTGCAGAACCCATCCCCCATATCCCTTGCCTCTCATTGGAGTGTGTGAGGAGAAAAACACCTCTGAGATACCAGTAAGCATTTAAGTCTCCTGAGCTGATGAAGAGAGTTATGCAGCCTGGGTGATTAATCGGCAGATGATTGATTCCTCAGGTGAAAGACTTGTGTAAGCTACATCAGTAGCTGAACTATTTCATTTATAGTATCAGACATGAGATGATGAGATGATTTTATTCCTTCTCTGTGGTTTGGCAATATGAATTCTTACTTTCCTCTGCCAGAAACTGTGGCCTCACTAAAGCTGGGATCAGACAGAGGATCTGTGTCTCATTTATACAAAACAAAAATCAAACCATCATCTTGTCATTTTGATTTTCTAGGTTTGAAACACTACCAGGAAGAATATGTAATGTTTAATCTTAAAAGTAGTTACATCTGGAGGAATGTATCAGGTTACAAGCGGACAAGCGCAGTGCATACCTTGGTTACTGCTCTACAGCTGCACGAAAATACTTACAGTACCAGTTGATGTTCTGTCTTTTTCTGTTACTAAACCCTGACCATTCCAATAGGGAGAATATAGACAATAGTTTCTCACACATAGGAAAACTGTAGGAATAGCTCCATTGTTTGTAAAAATCTGAATCAGGAAGCTCGGAATGTTTTAATGTGACAAAATTGTTAGAGAATATTCTTCCTGTAATATTAGAAATAGGGGCTGAAAGTTAGGATCTTAAGTTCAGATTCCCAAAAAAAGACCAAAAGTGTTGAGTACTGAGGTGGTATTTTAGACTCCTCTGAAGAATCAGGTCTATGTTCGCATTAAGACAATTAAGTAAGTGACCTAATTTTTTAGCAGCTGTATCCTAGAAGGTTTCTCATTTAAATTTATTGAGTCTGTCATTTCAGCAAACCTTTTTTAAAAGCCTTGACCAAAGCTGATTCAGTTGTCACTGCCACAGCTGAGTGATCTCAGAAGTGGCTTGAGGCAGGAGGTGGTGGGGCCAGACATAGCAGGCATAGCTGATTCAATCTACATTTCTTTGTGCAGTAAGGCAAGTAACACAATGACTTATAACTAGCATGGTATTTTATGAAACACCTTACCAATAGAAGATGAGGATCCATGGGTTGAATCTTCTGCTAAGACAGTACTGTTGGAGCAGCTAAGATGACTTTTTATTCTCCAAGAATCTTTCTGAAAACATTAGATGACTAAGGGAGGAAAGCTTAATTGTTCTGTGTCTTCAGTAAGCCAATTTGAAAATGAGGGTCTAAAGACTAAGAAAGGTTAAAGAGATGAATGTAAGTGTCAAAATAAATGTGCAAAGGCAAAAGGTAAAACAAATGTCTTGCTTTAAGACTATGATACCGAAAAATACAAGCAGATTTGAATAGTATGTGTAGCTGGTAATAATTTATGGTAAAATAATAACATGTTCATAGAACTGAAAAATATAGAGCTCCAAGGCAATCCTTGATTCATTGGCTGTCCAACAAGATACGTGATGCACTACTAGTATTACAGAACAGTCAGTTTTAACAAAGAAAGAAGTGTTTTTGTTCTAGAAACTTCAGCATTGATCCCCCTCATACTGAAAGACATTGTGCAAACAATTCTCTAGCCCCTATTTACTTTGAGTACGTAACATCTTTTCATTGAAGCTCATGATGTCCAGAGGAATAAGACTTTTATCCCTCCAACCACTCCTCTGGCTAGTCAGTCTCTGCCATTCCTCCATCAGTCCTCCTCTGGATTTCTGCTGCTGGATGAAGTTCCTCAGCATATCCAGGAGTTTGGTAATACTTAACCACAGCAAGGCAGATATCTGCACAAAGCCAACCAGAACAGATTCTTCAGGCCTCCATGGAAATGGTCTTTCTTTTTACCACTTTGCAAAAAATATAGCAAGCCTATATGAGGGTAATTGGAGAGGGGCATTCTCCACTTACTTCAGCATGTTATACCAATGAGGAGTAACTGTAACTTTACTCCACAAAAAACATAAAAAATCTGACTAGAAGGATTTGCTGGTTACCTGTAGGGTTGTTGAGATATACTCACAGGAAATTCATGCAAATTCTTGTTGGAAATTTCTATTGGAAATTAACAGCCTTCCACTTAGACCATAGAAATTTATGTACTCCTCATTAGCTGCATATAAATAAATAAATATATGATAACTATGCCAATTGGATTCCCAAGGCCAAGTCAAGTATAGAAAATCAAAAAGCTGGATCCACTGGTAAATAAAGTCTTCATGCACTGCATGGGATAGATGATAGGTGACCATATTGATACTGTGATTGATTTATACACTGATTTTTGAAAATAAGGTTTTGATTCCTATTTGCCTGGTAGATATTATCACACTGAGTTTTACAAAGCTGGAGAGGAAAGCTTAGGTTTCTTCCTCAGAGCACTTCCCTTTGCCACCAATAGGAAGGTTACTGAATCTCTATAGAGTATGTTTTCCTTACAGAAGCCCAAAAGAAACAAATGGAAGATAATGCTGATTTGATTCAAGAGGAATGCATATCAGAGAATGCAGATAACTCTACGGAAGAGCCAATTGAAGGAGGGCCAGATGCAGATGGGGATGGAGAAGATATGACTGATGGGATAGAGGAGGATTTTGATGAGGATGGCAGCAATGAGCTGGTAAGGAATAATCATGCCATGTCTGTCTATATGGTTCCTACAAGTAACCACAGAGAACCAACAGTCTGGATTAACATAATAAACTCACAGCAACACTGTGGTGTTCTGTAACTAGTGCATAGTCCTACGCTCTTCATACACTGTAGATTCAATTCAGAATAGGAACCTCTGAGGAGAAACAAGAAAAATATATTTTACTACATTTTGTGATTTTAGAAAGGAAATTAAAAGTGCATTTAATTGGTTAACATTTATTATTTTTCATTTACTGAAATGTGGATGAGAAAGGAAATAGTAGTGTGCTAGTTTCCTTTTTTTTTTTCTTAACTGGAGTATTTCAAAACTACACAAGATTCTAGAATGGTGAACCTTTTTATTAGTAAATGTGCTCCCCTGCAGTCCCCAGTCCTTATGTTCCATGTATATATTTTGCAGTGTTGGCAGATACAGATTTTTTTAATGGAAGGATTTTGCCTTAAGACATATTTGGCCAAGAAATGTTTGGGTTTTCAGCCTGAGGTTGCACCTTTCATGAAATGCCCATCATGGTGCTAAACTCATAAGTTCTTCTAGAGCAACGTTAAAAAAATATTTGGAAAGTCAAATTTATACCTTTTTATGCATTCCTAGTAAGAATGGAACACTCACATTGGTTTAGACTCTGTAATATCCTCCCTCTCTTCCTGGTTTTCACACTCTTCTGTTTTGAGAAGAAAGCACTTCTGTTGCTCATTGTCATTGCTTGCTATTTAACACACATTTACTCATGAGTGCACTGTAAATACCATTCAGTGAAGCCAACAGAAGTCAGTCAGCAAGGGACCCAGCTGAACCAGCAGGAAGTCTGAAGCAACAGAGCATATGAACAATCAGTGGTTTGTACTGCTTACTGCAAACACAGTTTAAACCTCCTTGTACTTTGCAGGTTTGTGTTCTTTTAGCCAACACAAGATCCTCTTAATTTATATATCCTGAATAGCTTTTTCCCCGAAGAAGCTACTACAACCTTAATCCTCTCATCCTTCAAAAGGGAGATTTTGAAATAAATTGGGGGAAAAAGAGAGTTTACCAACTATGGAAAAAAGGGATGGCTACTCATGAAGAGTTTGGGAATATACTTAGGTCATGTAGAAAGATAATTAGAGAGACAAAGGCACAATCTAGACACTTCTGTTAGGGATAACAATAAGTGTTTCCACAAATACATCACTGTCAAAAAAGCCCCCCTGTAATCCATTGCTGAGACACTTGGATCCTCACAAGTCTATGGGATCAGATGGAATCCATCCTAGGATGATGAGGGAGCTGGCGGAAGAGCTCACCAAGTCTTTCTGCATCATTTACCAACAGTCCTGGCTCTCTGGGAAGGTCCCAAATGATTGGAAGCTGGCTAATGTCACGTCAATCCACAAAAAGGCCAGAACGATGACCCAGGAAACTACAGGCCTGTCAGCCTGACCTCAGTGCCTGGCAAGGTTATGGAGCAGATCATCCTGTGTGCAATCACACAGCACCTACAGGATGGACAAGGGATCAGACCCAGCCAGCATGGGTTTAGGAGGGGTAGGTCCTGTCTGACCAACCTAATCTCCTTTTATGATCAGATGACCCTTCTGGTGGATGAGGGGAAGGCTGTGGATGTGGTCTATCTGGACTTGAGCAAAGCCTTTGACACTGTCTCCCATAATATACTCCTGGAAAAGCTGGCAGCCCATGGCTTGGACAGGGGCACTCTGTGCTGGGTCAGGAACTGGCTGGAGGGCCGGGCCCAGAGAG